TCATCCACTGAATTCATACAGTGACTTCTCATAAAAGATATTTTGGGTTCAGACTCTTCAGTTTTTAACAAATATACTTCTTTGGCATGACTCTGGATTCTGTGGGGAATTCTAATTCTCTGTCGCTCACTTTGAACTGAAACAGCAAGGTAAGTAGTTTGCTTTGTGAAACCAGTAGTTTAATGCCTGATCTTCGACTCACAGATCAGCACTATCAGTATTCATGGCAGAAGAGAAAAGAATCACTATCGGGTTTATAATCCCTGTTACTCCATACTGATAGGAGTTACTCCTTTGGAGCTTATGTTTGGGTTTTCACTGAGCAGCAGATTGAAACCACTTCAGGAACAGCAGTAATACTAGTATTCATTGTAGCAAGATGCCTTACCCAATTAGGAAAACCTTCACTCTTTCCTCCTTAAAGCAGCCTTCCTCTTATTTTAGAATGCAGTAGAAAGATTGTGTTATTAATTACATTTTACCAAATGAACTTCACTTAAAGCTTAATTAAAAATGTGGAAGCTGAATTATACTAATGTAGTCTTGTAAACACAGTAGAATTAGGAGTTGTGTGTGAGTAGCTAGTCACAGAATTGAAAAGATCTGTCCCCATTGTTTTTTTAAGAATATTTGAGGAATTTGTACATTGGATTTGGTACAGCTCTGTCTATACGACAATGGCCATGCAGTGTTGTCATTTCTAATTCTGTAGCCACTTACACCCATTTTATCCTCAGAGCTGATATTCCTAAATTGGGAGCAATTATCTTGCTGGCTGAGAGACCTGAGAAAACAAGGAAAGAAATGGGTTCTTACCTCTTATCAAACATGTTCATCTTTAATTCTCCCCATTTTCTGTTGTCAGGTGCTTGCACATCTCTCTCCCATGGCTAGTTACACTCTGTGAACATAGCATTAGAGGATGATTGGAATTGCCGAGTGCGATTAAAAGGTCATGTCTGAATTACAGCAAAAATCCAATAGGCCATCCATAGTAAAGCTGAGGAATTTTTCATATGTCAGTTAAAATATATATTTTGTCTCATTGTCAGAGATGGAATGAATGAGAGAGAGTGCATTAAATCCAGACAGCTGCAGAATGGCCATCAGGTGGCTCTGGATCTCAGCAGTATCATGAACAGAGGTTTAATTCAGACATATTTTCATACCTCAGACTCCTAGTCCCGATTACCTGTATCAGTAAGAATGCAATTTTTCTGGTGCAGGACTAGCTATTATTTTTTATGTTCATGAAAGTACACTTAGAGCATTATCTATACACCTAGCTCATAATAAGTAACTGGCAAACTTTTTATGCTCTATTGATAGAGCTTAATATTTAAAACAGATTGCACAGATGTGGTGTTTTTATCTACAGTGTTACTAACCCAGAAGAAACGCTGAACGTTAAGCCTGCTAAACCTTCCCTGGCAATCACAAAACCCTAATTTGGAGATCATAAAATCCCTGTGGCAAAACATCTGCCATCTGCTGGCCAAGGAGAAAAGTACTTGTGAAGCATTGATTTGCACTGGATAGGGCACTCCAGCCTATCTCCAGCAATAGGAGAAACTCGTAGTTTTACAGAGCTCTTCAGCAGCAGATCTGAAACAGGCCTGGTCAGTAGTTTTCTGACAGCATATTTTTCCATCAGAAAGTGCTGTTTTGTTATAATTAAAACTTTCTGGGGGAACATGTCAATGAGAAATTGAAATGTTCCGTTCTAAAAATATCAGAACATTCTGTTTCAAAATTTTTAGACTGGAACACTTTGCTTTTTATTCCAGAATGATTTTTTTAAAAGTAATTATTTTTGTACATTGTAAAAACAAGAAGTCAAAATTGAAATTGTCGTCTTTGTATTAAACATTAATGAAACCTCACATCATCACTATAGCACGTGGTAAATTCAAGGCAGTCAAGAATCTAGGGGTCTTGGCTTTTATTACCCTGCTGTGACCACTCAGTCTATGTCTCACTACTTGTGGTCATGTACGTATGCTCTGTAGGGAGAATATGTCAAGAGTGTGACTATCTTTTCATTCAGATGAGGGAGATCGGAGGTGGGAAGAAAACTTTGGTTTTCTCATCTTTGCATCTTTATTTCTTTTATTGTAATTTTGCAAGAATTACTTAAATTGCTACAGTAATTTAAAGAAAAACTGTTTTGAGCTTATTTTCCTTTTAATAATACAGCATACACAAAGTTCCCAGTTATAGCCAAAATCATACCAGTCAATATTCAGAAAAAAGAAAAGAAGCAAACAACTAAAGATAACTCTCAAGGCTTTTCTTTGCCTAGCTTTGTAAGTTTAGTACTTGTCATGTACTAAAAAGAAAACATAGACTTTGCGTTTTGTCCTGCAAGGAAAGGAATCAAAGAAAATATGCAGGATTTGATTAGTGATAGATCCAGACTTACTATTTTATATCTTTCCTTAAAATGGGGCTCCAGCTGAGTTGTATGACTTCTTAAAGATTGGTAACTTTGTTTTCAGAAAGAAAGGAAGTACAGTGGTTCTGATTATATATCACCAGTCATGACAGATAATTATCTATCTATCTATCTATCTATCTATCTATCTATCTTTCTATCTAATATATGCCTATATGGCAGCCAATTACACTGTGTTTAAAAAAAATGTTTAGATGCACATAACCAGGCTCTATTTATACTCACAGGGACAGTTTCTAATTTTGGACTTTGTGACTTTTTAAAATATCATTTAATGTAGCTTTTAATGCAATTAGAAAAAATGAAGAAAAAGAAATTGCGCGTGCAAAAATATAACGGTTGTCCCTCAACATGGGTTTTCAGAAGGGGTGAGG